CTTTATTATAAATCATGTGTGCACAGCTTGCCGACTGTAGGCAGTCCCACCAGATGGTTTGCGCAACCCTCTCCTTCCTCGCTGCCAATTTTCAGCAAGTGACTAGGAATGAAACGGGGTGACTTTGCTGCTTTCCCACCACGTACTCAGCGAGGGCTAAACTGAGATGGGGCAGTTCAGTTCAGGCAGTAAGCCTTCACCAGCCACGGCTGCTCTTTGGCTTTTTTAATTTAGATATAGCCCATGATGTGGGCGTAGTGCCTATGCTGTGATACGTCTGTTGCACACTTCTAATTTGGTCATACCTGTTTTCATCTTTATTCATTCACGTCAGGGGTGTCCGCAAGGTGGGGTCAAAAATGTCAAGATGGTGGCAATGACCATGTGATCCAAGCGCTGCCTATTTTTAGGTGCGCTGCGTAGACACCCCTGATTCTCATGCAAACTACTACCCCCAAAAGGTGGTGGAACCCTGATGGGGGAATTCTTTATCAGTTAAGGGGTGAATGTTTATCAGAGAGACACGGAGAAGCTAAAGCAAGGAAGAATGGGGCAGAAGTCAAAATTGGGTGGGCCATCAGTTCTGTGATATCCTCTCTTCCTAGTAACCCTTTTTCTTCTTCCATTTTCTTTCTCATCTTGGCATCCATTCCTCTTTCTCCTAAGAAGCTGGCTGCCTTGGGAGGGACAGAGAGCTTTTGCTTAAGGGTTTTCACTGCTCAGTTGCAGAGGGCTTTTAAAATTAGGCCCTGGGTCTCTGGTTAACTACCCCAGTTCTAAGAGGCTGTCCTTCAAGGCAGAGGTTTGCAGTTTTGTAAGATAATGACAAACAAAGGAGATTTCACTTTTCATCTCTAAAACGATGAACATGAACTAGTGGCATTGCTGTTGCTGAATAGACCCCCCCCCGCCCCCCAAAACCTACCTCTGCAGTGGGAAGGTCAACTCCCAAGGGCTATCTCTTCTACCAGTCTCATTCATCCACCACTTACTTGCTTCTCTATACCCATTTCAGGGCAATCCCACCATTACTTTCCATAAGGCTACCTACCAACATTTCAGATTTAATTGTGTTGCATGAACCCAGGTAACGGTGGTTTAGTCTATGAACCACGATTAAGCAAATCATCAGTTGAACCCAATGGGCTCTAGGAAGGAGGGATGGCATTTTAGATCATCTGCTACCTGATTCCTTTAGCTTGAATCTAGGACCTTGGCTCTGCAAAACAAAAGCTCTCTGACTAAGCTTATAGCCCTTTGAGAATTCTTTGCTTTCCATTTAGGATTCCAGGAATATTGCAAAGGCTGTCCATAAACTGAGAGTGTTTTGTGGGGGGGGGAGGGGGCTGGTATGTTTGTTGATCTATCATTTACACATGCACACTCACCCACAAACAGGATTTATGGAGCAGAAAATGTTTATTGCTTAATGGAGCAACCATTTCTACCAGGAATTATAGATGAAAATACTCATGACTCCTGTCTGACCCAGCCAACATCTCTGGCAGCTGGCAGTTCATTTTGTGTGTAGGTGAAATGTGGCAGCCTTTTTTTTTTTTTAAGGGGGGGTCACTATGTGATGAATAAGAAAGATTAATGCAGGATTGTTAAGCAGTAACAACAACAATAAAGTGGAATCATTCTTTCTGTGCAATCACGATGTGTTCAGATATTCCCACAAAGTTAGGAATGCTACATTTTAATAAAGATTGGACAAAGTGGCTATGTACTTGGAGAATATCTGTGGGAGGGCAGAAGAGGAGTTTAAATGTCTTTTAAAAACTTCTGGCTGGGCCAGACCAATCCAAGTCCATTCATCTTAGCTTTGAAAGACTGACAATCCATTATTTGGGAAGTTCTCAAACAGATCTTTAGAAAGCTGACCTTGGTTCATAACCAGTCTTTGGTAAACTGTCTTTGAATATGGAGGTTCAGTTTAGCTATGATGGTTAAAAGTTAATGGATAAAACAAATTTTATAAATTGTCTAACATTTCCCCCTTATGCAGAAAAATATTTCACCTGAAGCCTGGTCCACAACTTCAGGACAAATGAGATGATAAAGAGAGGATGGGTTGGACCACTTTCTATTCAGTGGATGATGGCATGTCAATTCGAGTG